TCAACTCCTAAGATGCCTTCCGCTCTCTTTCGTTGCTCCCTTCATCCTTGAGCCAACTCCAGCCCATCTCCTGTAGAGTATTGTTAATAAAAGATAGTTCACCTAACTTTACCTCAGTTCATGTTAGTGGCAATTCACTGTGATTGGCAAGGGGTTCAAGGTGGCCTCTATTAAGAGAGCCACCTGTCAATGGCTAAGTACATGTTAAGTCCTGAACTCCGGAGTGGAGTTCCGTGGCACGACTACTGGGGTACGATGACAGAGCGTCGGGGTAAGTGGGGTGCACCTGATATCCATACACAGCACTGTCGGTGTGGAATACGAAGTACTGGATGGGTGTTGCTCGCTCTAGCTCACGATGTCCACTGAGTCAAGGATAACCAGAGTGATCGGAGAAGATGAAGATGAAGGGAACGGAAACAGGTACAAGAGGCAAATGGTAAGTGCGGGAACAAAGTTGATAATTTGTCTAGATTTTTGTAGAGAATATTACATGGACTTTTATACAAAAATCTAGCCCATAAATCGGAAACTAAAATCAAGAACGAAACATGAACTCCAGACATCCGCAGTGTGGAACGTCCGGTGACACAAAAAAGTCTGAAGCCATATGAAATCTAACTAATAGAATCCATGACCAAGACAACTGGAATTAAGGGACAAAAGAGTAAGTGAGACAGGATCAAGGACATGGGACAGGAGTGTTAGGAATCGAGGTCGGCAAGGCCCTCAAGGGTTGAGGGGGCTCTTTGGGGTCTCTGCCCTCCCAGGCAGAGCAGAACACGGAGGCTCTGCCTGGAGTAGCGGCAAGGTCCGGAGTTTGGAGCGGAGTTGGTAGGAGTTGGCAGGAGTTGGCAGGAGTTCGGAGTTTGTCGGAGTTGGCAGGAGTTGGGCTGGAGTTGGCTCAAGGATGAAGGGAGCAACGAAAGAGAGCGGAAGGCATCTTAGGAGTTGACAGGACAAGCAGGGAATATTCCAAGTCGATTTTCTGGCTAAGGACTAACTAGGAAATCGTACAGGACTTATATAGATGACATGTAATATAACTAAAGAAGGAAATGTGATAGAAGCAATGACAAGCATCAGGAAAATGTTGGTCCTCCCTAATTCTCACCTAGCTACCCCTATTCAATGACTGAATTGAAGATTTTGACCTTTGAATTCTTGGGGTAGCTAGGTGAGAATTAGGTGAAAAGACATTTTGCTGATGCTTGGTTGTCAACCAGGTGCCCAAGGACGGTTAGGTTCTCAGAGTAGAGTTCTACCTTTTCTTTACTCACATAAAGACAATGTTCACACAGTGCCTTGAACATGTAGCACAAGAGATCCTCATGCTCTTTGGTTGTATCCAAATAGACATGAATATCGTCTATGTAGGGGTGTACTCCCCTCCCTATGCATTCTCTGAACACATGAGTGCACAACCTTTGGAAGGTTGAAGGTCTGTTGCAGTCTCCCTGCTGCAGTACCTGACTGATGAAAGTACCTACTGGCATTGAGAATGCTGTTTTCCAGACATCATCTGGCTTGACGCATACTTGTTTGTAGACGTCGGACAAATCTATTTTAGATCTGAATTTAGCTCTCACTAAGTTGTTGTGGATCATATCCTGATCTGGAAATGGTGTCATGTCTTTCACCATGTTGTCATTGTACTTGGGGCAGTCAACTACAGTATGTAGTTTGCCACTCTCCTTTCGAATACAGAGAAGTGGCGATGAGCGGAGGACGTCGCAATGGGTCTGGAGAGTAAGGAAAAGAGGGGGGATCTCCTCTAAAATAGGAAGGAGGAAGCCAAAGACTCGGAAGATGTCTCTTGTTGAGTGGGCAATTGATTTGTCAGGCAGAGAAAACTTCTCTGATGACAAGTCAGTACTCAAACCAACTAATGGCTTGAGAATAGAAAGATGATAGGAAGGTAAGGAATTCGATTTTAATGTCTAAAGCAAATTGGAAGGTTAGCTATCACTTCCACACAGCTGTATGGTCCCTGTGATTTGATCCAAGGGGCTAAAAGGGTAAGTATGAGTTTTCTAAGCCAAAGGCAGCAACTTTAACACAATCTAGAGCCTCCAACAAGGCTCTGGGACTTAAGGCGAAACCAATACAGGGTGCAAAAATCCAATTCGCCCAAATAACAAACAAACAAAAAATTACAAATCGAATTTGCACTATTGTAGCTCATGTTTTCTAATAAGGAAGAAAGGAATGAAGTTATGACATGTAATGTAACTAAAAGTAGAATAAGCAAAGGTCATATGAAATGAAATTGAAAGGTTTAGGGCAATGGGATGCTGAAGAAATAGGGAAGCAGGAAGTGACGAATGATGAGGCTGAGTTCTTGGTGAGTGGGACTGTGATTGAGAGGTGTCCGCGTAGGTCAGTATCTTGTGTCAAGTGAACTAGCCAAGTCGCACTTCTGTTTCATGTGTCTCTTTGGATTAGCCGAGTGGATTGGCCGGTCTGCACAGCGACACGTATGGTATGGGTTTTTCTTCCCACCATCCTGTGTTGGTGTAGCTGTTGGAAATATGAGCTTAGATTACGCTAATATCACATAGAATAGCCGTGAGGCTTCAGTAGGACAAACTCATGAGGAGCCTGTCCTGCTGGAGCCTCTCTTTTATAGCAAACTATGTACATAATGACTAATCTATTTTACTAATAATATTCAATTTATCATAAACTATTTACGCAAATTGTTAGTAATCATTCTGGATACAAGATTGTACCAGAAGATTCCAACAGTAGCGCTTGATTTCTCCATGAGTAATTCACGGAGTGCATCTGGGCACTTAACTGCTCAGTGACAAAGACTCTTCATGTCATCAATCAACGGTATTCAATGATTGATCACTCTGAGTGGTGGTAGCTCCAGAGGTATTGGACCTGTTAGGTCTGCTATTCTTTCTTCCCATTCCCATCATAATTGGGGAATGTCCTCCCTGGTTAGGGGTTTTGTGTTGGTTCTCCTAGCCTGGAGTTTGGCTCCAGGTTTTCTGGGGGGCCTTCATGCTCCAGCAATTATTGTTGCTGGCAGGGGAGTTGGTTTCCCCTTTGTCTCAGGGACCTTTTGTTCTAACTGAGCAGTTTCCCCCAGGTTCATCGAGGCCTGGGGCAAGCGAAAATCAACTTAGTCTCCCCATAATCTCGCCCCCAATTTTAGTCTCACTTCTGTCCCTCTTCTGCTCTTCCACCCAACTATCAGACTTAGCGTTCTTGCCAGGTCCTGTGGTCTAATGGGCATTTGAGTACCATACAGCGTACATCCATGAGTTGTTGGTAGTGAAAACTGGCTAAATACCAAGTTGGCATGTACGGTTTTCAATTTGAAATACAGTCAGTTTTCTCGAGGGAAATAGTCTCACTAATCGTCCTAGAATGGCATTCAATTGACTTAAAACAGGAAGAATATGAATGGAAAAGTTCGACTATTCTCTTTCGGAAAAGTGCCCAGAATTCAAGTGAAAAACTTCAAATGCCGACTCAGTATTTAGCTGGTTTTCATTACCAACAAGTTGTCAATGTGCGCTGTGCCATCTCATCCCTACCTTGTATCTGTTCCATTCCAGCCCAAGTCTTCGCTTCCATTTGCCTGACACATGCACACTTTCTGCCACCTGTGTCAGAAGGGACTTTGCCATTTTGCACAGCTGAAGTTTGTGACTTAACACTGATTGAAGAAAATTGGTACATCAACATTTCAAATATAGATGGCTATGACATCATCTTGGGGACCCTGTTTGCATGGGAGAATGGGTGCTTGCCCATCTTCAAAGAAGATGGTTATCTCCTAATTAAAGGAGTCCAGTTTAATCCAGAAAAACCATACAAGCCAGCAGTTGTATTGCACAACCGGTGTACAGCCTGCTATACAGCTGCTTACGAATTTTGAATTTAAACTCTAATTTCTTTCTTTTCGAACTTTCTCTTTTCTCTTTACGAATTCCTTTTATTCTTCTGGTTTCACTCGGTTTTATTGATTTTGTTTCGAGATTTGTTTGTGTATTATTGATGTATAGTATAGGAAGGGTGAAAGGTGGGGCAATAGAGGATAAGCATCTTTGTACCCATTATAGTTTCGTTTTAAGTGTTTGAGGTGATTTTGTAACGCCCTGCCCCCAACTCCGCTATAACACTTCCGACTTCCGCCGAGCTCCGTGCTGGTCACGGATGTTCGGACGCCTGGTCTCCGCTGGTCGCGGACCTTCCGTCTTCCGTGGAAAAGTATCCTTACGTAATCCAAACCCGGTCGAGTCCCTGCGCTCCTAACGGCCACTCGGCACTAGGGAGCGACCGGTACGGTCGCTCCTATTTTCCGTTTTCTTTTTGATTTTTCTTTGACTTTTTCGGACGGACAATTAGTTTTATTCATGTCCTGATCTAGAGAACAATAGCGCGCGCATTTGTCTATATAAACCCGCCTGTACTTCGTCTGTAGTTCTCTAGTCAGAAAATCAACTTAGTCCTCCCCTAATCTCGCTTCCGTCTTAGTTTCGCTTCCGCTCCTCTTCCACTCCGTTCCGCCGTTCCGCTCGATCCTTGGACTTAGTGTTCTTGCTAGGTCCTGCGGTCTAACGGGCTACCGAGTACCACCTTGTCTCTACCTCGTATCCGTTCCGTTCCGTCTTTAAGTTTCACTCCCGTCTGTCCGACGCCCGTGTGCGTTCCACCGGTCGCGTCGGAAGAGACTTAGCCGTTTCGGCCCTTCGCGCGGTCGAAGTTTGCGACTTAACAGATTTAGGCTTTACAGGATTCGACTTGGACTTCCACTTGCACGGAGATAACTTGTAGAGACCTCATAGGCAGGTCTTATAAGTTAGTCTGCCTCATTGGGA